TTGATTGAATGATACGTAGGGAGGCATTTGCAGTAGTTGCCGGGGAATTTTTGAGATTTAAATCAAATTTCAAATCGAATAAAATTAATATTAATCTTATTTAATGATGACGGTACACTTAACATCCGATTTTTATGTCACTTTGTTTTTACCCGACAGCGCCAGAAGGAGGGTTATGTATGATTGCATGGGTAGATATAACATACTCCTATACATGAAGTAGTTATAACTTGGTTCTAATTAATCCTAAAGGAGACTCCAAATCGCTGCCTTTAGAGTTCGGTAGGCAAACCACCAGCCCAGGCGTTCTAGAATCTAATAATTTGATCTTTTAATCGTAACCGCTCCGAGCTCTCATTAACTCAATTAAACCATACCGTGGACCACCCCAAATGAGCTATTCCTGCGGTCGGTGGTCTGATTACAGTTAATAAGTACAAACTTAAACACGGACTAACCAGCTTGGTGCACTGGAACGCATCGTATGGCTGCGAGATAGTGTCGAGGTAATGCAGAGCAGCCAGCTCACTTCGTACAAAATATTTCGAATTCATTAGAAAGAAAGAAAGAAAGAAACATTTATTGCCATGGACATCACAAAAGACAAAAGAGGTAAAATAAAAAAAAAGCAAATAAGACAGAGGTGACATAAAACATACAATGAAAGAGCAAGTAAACTAAGCAGTGCCACCCTGTCGCACAGCGATGCCCATCGCAATGGGACCCCACTCAGCATATGCCGTGGCCCCCGGTGAGGGAGGCCACGACGCTGGTTTTCAGTGTGCCCCATGCCAAGTGAGAGTCACGGACACTAACCTATACTGCATAAAATATACATACATAAATAATAATAAATAATAGTGCGCGTATAAATTTTAAGTGTAAATACAGACGTAGTAGAAAATATACGATATAAACGAAGTAGAAAAGATGTGATAAGATATTTATAAATAAAAGGATAATATTTAAAAAACAAAACTGTGTGTGTGTGTACATAATAATAATAATAAATTGTAATGTATTAAAGTGCGTTTGTGTATACTGTGATTGTGTGTGTCTCGACGTCAGCAAAACAGTCTCGATCGATCGAATCATTCTGCGTGGTTGTGGCTATTCATTAGTATCATAGTTAATCACAATTTAACTTAACAACTTGGCAGCGCACTGTATTAGACGAGGCAAAAATTACGGCAACAAGATCAAACACGAAGGTCAAGAATAAACGCGATGGAGGACTGTTGTGGACGCCCTCTGCCCCNTTTTAGCTAATAAAAACATTAACTTTACTTCACCGTGTCTATTTTCCGACACTACACCTTTTAAAACTGTTTGTTTAATTTCGAATTATCGCAACACTGAAGTTTATTAATAGGTACTTTAGAGATGGTACGATTATACAAACTCCACTAGATTAAAGTTTTCTAATCGTAAATACAATAAATGCTTCTTAAAATTAAGTTTTTATTTATTTTACTTTGCTCATACAACCCTGACGCTTGAGCGGTGACGTAGATCAATTCTAAACACAAAAAAAATGCGCTCTTGTGAGCGTAGTAGTAAGGTGCGATTTCGAATGCACCATGTGCGTTGGATATTTCGCATTATTATTATTACCGTTAAAATGTCGGCATCTGATCCTACACAAAGGAGTGCAATTTCTGTTGCTACTATTATGTATTCTGTGGTTATTAGAAACTCCATTAGTTAAAGTTAAACCTTAATAAGTTTAGTATCAGTTATCGACATTTGGATGCATTAGCCACGAGGACAATCGCTCCCGACCGAATCTATGGAGATAGAAAGCAGTAGCACGCTTTCGCGTCGATTCGCTCCGATCGTTAATAGTGATGGTTGATATGTGCTTCTCAAACTTTTCATGTGTCCTTTCAAAGGGTACTTGTGTAGGTTTATCTATCGCTTATCATTTGTAACCGATTTAAACAAAATGGTTGCTCAAGACGCCAATACCAATTTAAGAAATCTTTTTTTGTTTGAAAGGACATACTTCTCTGATGGCCATTAAAATTACATACATTATTTCAGAGTCATGAAAATACTCAGTCGCAATATACATTGTGTCAACATTATGCTGGATATTATCTTACATAGAGTTAACCAATATCAATGAGGCTTTTAACTGATATATCAATAGGATAAATCCCTGAAAATTATACAGCTCACTTACAGTTATAAGAAATCTACTCGTATACAAGCTAAATATAATTTTTGAATGTTGCCAATTCCCGTTCTTCCTACCTTATACCTTACATAGAGGGTAAACTCTATTGGGGACAAAACTTAAATATTGAGAACCGCTGGTGGCCCTTCTCGGACACGTGTTAACAAGCGGGTATGCGCGATAAGCAGTTATTTATCGTCTGCCACTGAAACGCCGGCTGCACGATTTGTCACGGATACTGCTTGCTGCCCGTCGATCATACCAGAGCTACTTATTGCTTATTGTTTCGAAAGTGCGGCTGTTGATTTTTGCTAATTAACTGGTGGAGATTGTTGTTTAGGTGAATGAATGGCGTGGATAGATGATGATGCTGTCAAACGATGTAGGCTTAAGTATCATAAGATGTATAAAGGAGAATTAACTAAGGACTAAGCCTACAAGACTGTAGTGACGGCCTGCAATAAAATTAGTCTAACTACAGGACGCTGGCTATTCCAGTTTACCTAACATTAACTAAATTAAACTGAATCTAATTATTAATTTCAAAGCCTAAACCTTACTAATGTTACTAATGTTGCCCTAACAAGAATCTTACATTTCAATTTCTTCATCATGAAACTCTAGATAGGTATCGATTTCCTGAAAATTGTTGGAAAAACAATTATTCTACTAAAGTTCTTTGTAAATTATTTAGAAAAAGTAAAATCAAATGATGTAAAAATCACCTAATACTTACCGTAGCTATATGTATTACAAGGATACAAAACACAACAAACACAAAGACAAATATTTGAAACTACAATTCAAAGTCTACTTTCATTCCGCTTGAATGAAAATAACTTTCCTATCCGAGTTTCCCTAAAGGCACTTCCTTTCGCGTTGACCGTTCGGTCCCAGCAGTGGGCGCCTAGGGACGTACTAATACGGCACAATGAATGGGCACCGGCGCTTACGCATGCGCGCGCCGTCGCATTCGCATCGCATGAATGAAGCATACCTTTTGCTCTTGATAAATTGTGTGGTGCAGCCAGTAAATGTTTGTTTGAATGATATTAAACGGTATCATGTCAAAGTTGGTTTTGCGGCAAAGGTTTTACAGAATCTCTGATTTGTCCTGCGAGAACCCTTCAATATTAATCGAGACTACACACAGGCACGGTTTTGTGAGCGGACTGGTTGAACTTCGGTTTGTCATCGTGGTGCAGTAATTCATGGTTTTACGGCTTCTGCCGCTACTCACGGGGAGGGCCCGAGCAACTGCACTCAGGAGGATTTGATAAGTGCTGCTGACAACGCCACTCTTGTGGCGGAGTTTTGGGCTGACACTGTGTAGGTTTGTTGTCGACACGAAAAGAAGAAGAAAGGTATCATAACTTCGTCAAATATGACCAAAGTAAAACTACCTTTACAAACTATTGTCAATTTTCAACATTAGGTCATCTAGTCTCCACCGAAGAAACTCAAATTGAGGAGTACTTATTGGTTGGACTACACTCTCCACGCTCGGGTTGGGAATGCCTGATGCTTACTGTTGTCCCTTAGTCACTTTTTACAACATTTACTTAAGGGAGGAGTGTAGATAAGGAGAATGGGTCCAATTCTAGATAATATCTGTGGTTCTAACTGGGAGACGATTTTCCATCCAGTTTGTGCGTAACCGTATTTTTTCATATGAATTAAAATTGTGACTCAATACGGTTTGAAGACTTTATTACTTACAAAATAGTCCTCCATTATAACGACGCTTAGTAGCTTTGACTTAAGTACCGGCAGGCTTGATTAAGCTTGATTTACGTTTATTGACGCATTTTTACGCGAAAGCTATTACATAATGTAAGTGTAAGGAGATTTTATTTGCATATTAAACAACAGATTGCTTAATTACTATGTAACTTAGGCAATTAATCTGCTGGCTTATAAACTCACCGTATTTACTGTCAATTAAACTCAAACGAGCCAAGAGCACTAATTAGGTAGGGACGTAAATATTCCAGTAATTTAGAGGCTTTAAACTTTGATAAATTTAACAATGTTAACAGTATTCCTTGTTGTACTAATATTAGTTTCTNTGCGGCGCGCACGCACACACTGACAAAATTTAGCGTGGATTAGCGCTGAATTTTGTCAGTGTGTGCGTGCGCGCCGCATACGTATTAGCGCGCGGTCACATACAAACCGCGCTCGGTGCGTTTCTATGAAGATGACGTACTCATTTGTATTTACTCTGCCCATGCGCTGGACTGACCAGGTCAAAAGAGCACAAGAAAATCTGCAGTGCGGGAGGAATGGCGACGGATTGTGAGGCTTGCCACCGGACCTGGTGTGACGACCACGACTACGGCAAGAGTGTAGCGACGAAGAAGAAGTTAAGGGCCGATGGCTAAAACTTGCGCGGATGCACACAGCAGGTGCCCGCTTCGGTCGTCCGAGTTTATAGTTTAATGTCATTTACTGTTTTTTTTTTCTATTCTGAATAAAGTGTTCTTATTCTTAAAAGCGAATTCATGCATGCCGCATGCCGCGTGTATAGAAACCCATCTCACGCTTCCGCGACACACTGCGCTGCTCATAAAATTTTTCGACACAGATAAGGGTGCGTGCGCCGGCACAAGTTTTAGCGTAGGCCCTAATACCCCTAGCTAAGCTAATATAAGTCCAGTGGACGACTGGGTTTGCAGCGTTTGAACCTGCGTCTCTCAGATTTCGAGTCGGTCAGTTTGACAGCGACACCGTTGGGCTATTGTCCCCCCTACAATACATTTCACATGAGAATACTATTTGTAGATAATTTATGAAATTGTAATATACTCGTAGTTATTACCTGGTTGATCCCAGCATACTTCTTTGGTTTCCAAGGTCCTTCCGAGACGTGGTCTTCCCGCCGCCTCGTCAGCGTTCCTTGTTGTGGCATCACTGTTAGCTTCTCTGGCGCTTTGTATACCTGGCGAATAAATTAGTTATTATAAATCAAACGAATGACAATGCATCAAAGACAATATGGCGCCAGAGTTTTTTAGAATCATTTTTTTGGCTGGAAAATTTATAAAATGAAACAGCTAAAAACCAGTCGTGTCCCTCTCGCGCTCAGTGGCGAATGACGCGAGTTCAACAAAGTCGTTCGGGTGCATATCCCCAAGCTACGGTCACGCCAGAAGAACAGGGTTACTCCACAACGCGGTTTACATGGGTTTCGGGTCTTATCTGTCACTGTCACTCATACTGGCATCTCACTTTGTTTGAGAGGGATGGAAACAATCGAAACTGGATATTATTTATGGGGGTTTGACGCAGAATGTGCACTTCGTAAAATGCGCACTTTTGTATACAAATGTAAAGGCAGAAGTTTTGTTCGTTCGTTCGTTTCAGCTAAATGACGTCCACTCGGCGCACCTCACCGCTAATCCCCGCTAAATTTTGTCAGTGTGTGCGTGCGCGCCGCATACGTAATGGCGCGCTCACATACAAACCGCGCTCGGTGCGTTTCTATGAAGGTGACCTACTCATTTGTATTTACTCTGACAAAGGCCTCCCCCAAGGTTTTCCACAATGAACGGTCCTGCCGAAGGCCGAAGTTTATTTGTACAGTATTAGTATGAAAAAATGCGCATTGAGCGAAGTGCACTTTCTGCGTCAGACCCGTTTTTAGGCGTAGCCCCCCTGCCTTTGTCGCTCGCCGTCGCCTTAAATTCTGTATCTTTCAATAAAATTATTGTATGCCCATGCGGCGGAACACAGCTGATCTATTACAAAATTGTATGACCTTATGTATTTACCTGTGATTTCACAATAAAACAATTTGAATGAGGGCTATCGTTTTAGCGCTCACCAGTCAGCGCCACTGTAGAGTAAGGTCCTGTCACTTGCTAGTAGCGAAGACAGTGGCGCCGACTAGTGAGCGCTAAAGTGGTAGGAGGACTATCGCATTTGCACTCATCAAGATGGCGCCACTGTAGAGTAAGGTCCTGTCAATCGCCAGGGGTGCCAACTGTTAAGTATAAAAACGATAGCCCTCATTGAATTGAAGGCGTGACGTCATACCTGGCCGGTGACGCCGCGCATGAGGACCTCGGCCAGCTGGCGCGTGAGCGTGAGGCGCAGCGCCTGCGTCGACGTCGACTCCACCGCCGTCAGCATCGAGCGGTACCTGCGGAAACAACGACGCGATTTCTTGGAGCGGTCAATTTGGATAGCGAAACAACATTAATATTGTAAAGCACATCGCTAAAACATTTTATTTTTTGCATTGAAAACATAAATCATTCGTTCGTTCGTTCGTTTCAGCCGAAAGACGTCCACTGCTGGACAAATGCCTCCCCCAAGGATTTCCACAAAGACCGGTCCTGCGCCGCTCGCTTCCAGGCACCTCCCGCGACCTTCACCAGATCGTCGGTCCACCTAGTGGGAGGCCTGCCCACGCTACGTCTTCCGGCTCGTGGTCGCCACTCAAGAACTTTCCTGCCCCAGCGGCCATCAGCGTAGGAGAACCAGAGTGACTGACATAGCCCGCAGAATCGCTAAAATCAAGTGTCAGTAGGCAGGGCACATAGCTCGGAGAGCTGATGGTCGCTGGGGCAGGAAATCATTATTTTAGTTAAAACTAGCTGACCCGGCGAACTTTGTTCCGCCTTAATGGCAATAAATAACGGGATAAAAAGTTGGCGATCCTATGTCCTTCTCCTGGCTTTAAACTACCTCCCTGACAATTTTCAGCTAAATCGGTTCAGCCGTTCTTGAGTTATAAGTGGAGTAACTAACACGACTTTCTTTTATAATATAGATAAGATACTAGCTTTCCGCCCGCGGCTTCACCCGCGTGGAATTTTGTCTGTCACAGAAAAACTTTATCGCGCGCGTCCCTGTTTCAAAAACCGGGATAAAAACTATCCTATGTTCTTTCCCGGGACTCAAACTATCTCTATGCCAAATTTCATCAAAATCGGTTGCGAGGTTTAAGCGGGAAAGCGTAACAGACAGACAGACAGACAGACAGACAGACAGACAGAGTTACTTTCGCATTTATAATATTAGATCCCAACTAATATTATAAATGCGAAAGTAACTCTGTCTGTCTGTCTGTCTGTTACGCTTTCCCGCTTAAACCTCGCAACCGATTTTGATGAAATTTGGCATAGAGATAGTTTGAGTCCCGGGAAAGAACATAGGATAGTTTTTATCCCGGTTTTTGAAACAGGGACGCGCGCGATAAAGTTTTTCTGTGACAGACAAAATTCCACGCGGGCGAAGCCGCGGGCGGAAAGCTAGTGAATAATATAATTAAAAATTATAACACTATCATATTAAAGTAATTCACCTTTTGGCTTACTAGTGCGTTTATTCATAAAATAAACAAAGAAAAAAGCCAACCCGAGCCCCGAGCGAACGTTAATAGCCTTAACACGTAGGTATGTCTCTTATTTTATTAATCATTAGTTTATTTGTCGGGAAGTATTTCATAACCACCGTTTTATTTCNGCACCTCCTCCCCTGTCTCCATCGCGTCCTTAGACGTGACCACGATGGAGTGCAGGGCCGACCTAACAGGCAGGCGCTGCTGTCCGGGCACGGACGCCGCGACGCTGGCATAGGTGAGTTGCTCACTAACGCTGTTCCTTTGCCTCTCTGCCTCTTCCCTCATCTCCTCCAATTTCCTATTATTCTCCAACAGGAGTCTCCGATTCTCTCTGATTTCCGCCACTATTGTTTCCTCACTCAGCCCTCGCTCCCTCTCCCTATCCGTTTCCTTCTCTATGGAAGGCTCGGGTTCTGGCTCTGAAGCCTTCTTCCCCGAGACCTTCCCTTTCCTCTCAATCTCGGCTTCTTTCACTAACTGATACAGCCGATCCAGAGCCTGGGTGACGTCGGTCTTAATGTCACCGCGCAGGTTCCTAGCTGTGCCAAGGGACATTTTGGCCTTCTGCAAACAGGCTCTGGCTTCGGCTGTCCGTTCCTTAACAATAGTGGCGGCGGGTGCCCTCGGTGAGCTCGCCGAAACCGCCTCCACAGAAGACCGGCGCACTGGCGCAGGTTTCTTGGGGGCCTTCGGGGGTTCGGCCTGCGGCGGGGTTGAGTCGGAGCCAGAGGAAAGCCCAGCTTTCCTTGTCTCCCACTCGCCGACGCTGCGTCTCACTTTCCCGGGCCTGCGGATTGGTGGGGAATCCGGAGACTTCTGCTGGACCTCGTCGCTGGGCTTCTTTGCTGGAGTCCTGAAGCCGAACATATTATCGCCGGAGGTGCGCGTCGCCTAAAGTGTGTGATATAATAATCAGCTGTCCGTATGACCGCTTAGTGATATTTGAGAATAATAATAAAATAAAATGTGTCAATAAAAGGTTTGTAAAAGTTGTATAAATAAAGTAAAAACACAAATAAATAAAACAATACAAAAACAATAAAAATATCAGTCTTATTTCCCTATCAAGGTACTTGTCAGTCGGAGCAGCGGCCGCTGCGGCACCCGGTAANCGGCGTCGCGCACCGCCATCGCCTCGCCCACCAGCAGCAGCAAAACAACCTCCTCGTACTCGTTGCGCGGCACGAACTGGAAGGGAGACAGTTTTTTTATTATTTTTTTACAAATAACGTACATTTTTTTACAAAATATGTTTTTACAAGTAACGGTAGGACCGACGCTAAAACTTGCGCGGATGCACAGAGCGGGCTTGCACTGCAGTCGCCCGCCTGCTCGCTCACTGAGCCTCGACCAACGTCGAATCACCCGGTGGGCTTGTACCGCGCCGAGGGCGGGCCAATGGTACTAGGGCCGAGCTGCAGCGAAGTCCATCGCACAGCGATGTTCCCGGCACCGATCAATCCTCGCTCGCGAAGAAGATCGCGAAGAAACTCGGGCTATGAACTGTAGTTCGATGCCCGTACTGGCCAGAAGGTCAACGAACCTGGATCGATAGATCGCCTATTAAAGCAAGTTCATGCATGCGCCCGCCGCATGCCGCGCGTGTAGAAACCCATCTAACACTTCCGCGACACACTGCGCTGTTCATAAAATGTTTCGACACCAGACAAGGGTGCGTGCGCCGCCGGCGCAAGTTTTAACGTAGGCCCTAACGCCCGTATTCACAAACGATGCTTGCTTAAGAGAAGCAGCAAATCTAACGCACAGCGGAATGGAGCTCTGTGATTGGTTCGTGTGTCACACTGTGCGTCCACGCGCACTGAGAGACCTCATAGTAATGTTTGTGAATACGGGCGTAATACCCCTAGCTAAGCTAATATAAGTCCAGTGGACGACTGGGTTTGCAGCGTTTGAACCTGCGTTTCTCAGATTTCGAGTCGGTCAGTTTGACAGCGACACCGTTGGGCTATTGTCCCCCCTACAATAAATTTCACATGAGAATACTATTTGTAGATAATTTAGGAAATTGTAATATACCCGTGGTTATTACCTGGTTGATCCCAGCATACTTCTTTGGTTTCCATGGGCCTTCCGAGACGTGGTCTTCCCGCCGCCTCGTCAGCGTTCCTTGCTGTGGCATCACTGTTAGCTTCTCTGGCGCTTTGTATACCTGACGAATAAATTATAGTTATTATAAATTAAACGAATTTATTTATTTATTTGTAATAGGTATACAAACAGTTTACAGTCTGGGCTTCATCGTAAAGAAAAAGTGTTAATTACATACTGGACCGTAAGCCAAAATTAGTATACACAGCATGATAAATTAAATTAAATTACAAGTACTATCTAAAAATAAATACAGTTCTAACTTAACTCTAACAGTTACAACACAATATTATGAAATTTTATTAGATATTTTATACTAATTGCGGTGATTACGACGGAAGCAAAAGATTACCCAGAAGACATTACCCACTGTTCCCACCGGGAGACGCTGTCGTTTCGTCATTTTTGAGCAAGTCGGATATAGCCTTTTTATACTGAGGAAATTTACTATTAAATACATCTATGTCCTTGCCTGCACGAGCCAACTCATTATATGCGCGACACATCCTGACTAGAGGGTTGTAGTAAGAAGTATTGTTTTTGTATGCCTGTATTGCGAAGATGTTAGACTTAAAGTCTTTTAGTGGAAGGAGTTTAATATTCGATGGCAACCTATTATATATTTTGATGCCCATAGAGTAACAATTTTTTTGGAACAATGTTGTTCTCGGCGCAAAAGCATGCACCAGCCTATCAGGATCTCTAGTGTTCCTGGGGTATATCTCTGCAGCCCTTTTAAAATAATGCATATGTTGTTTCACAAAACAAGACATTTCATAAATGTATAAAGATGGCAAAGGCAGAACATTCAATTTTTTGAACAAGGTTCTACAGCTTTGCAATGGATGTGCCAAACAGATCGACCTGATGCATTTCTTTTGTGTAATAAAAACCTTATTCAATTCGACACCATGACCCCATATAATAATGCCGTATCTAAGAACAGAGCCAACATACCCATGGTAGGCTAGTAAGGCAGTGTGCTGCGACGTTGTTCTTCTAAGCCGACTAAGGGCATATACAAATTTGTTTATTTTTTTACATAATTCCTCGATATGAATTTTCCAGTTTAGGTTGCTATCTATTGTTATACCTAAGAATTTTATATTTTTTACCTCGTCAATAATATTATTACAAAAATTTATATTCAAGTCATTTAATTTATTAAAATTCATTATTTTTGTTTTGGTCAAGTTAACATTCAAATTATTGGCATTAAGCCATGTCACTATTACATCAATTGTGTCATGTATGTCACGTAAATGATTTATTAATGAATATTTTTCAGTCTTTACTATTATAGATAGCTGCTCGTCGAACAAAACACCTAGGTCTCTGACGGTGTCCCTTCTGGATATTAATTGATCGCGTATGTAGTAAGAGTGTACAAATCTATTTTTCTTTTTTGTAAAAGTGATGATAACACAACACTTATCTACGTTGAGGGACATTTTATTGGACGAGCACCAATCATCGATAACCTTTAGATCGTTCTGCAGCACCAGAGCATTACTCTCCCTATCAAAATGCGAATGACAATGCATCAAAGACAATATGGAGCCAGAGTTTTTCAGAACCGTTTTTTTTTCGACTGGAAAATATGTAAAATTACAACGGCTAAAAACCAGTCGTGTCCCTCTAGTCGCGCTCAGTGGCGAACAAAGTTGTTCGGGTGCATATCCCTAAGCTACGGTCTCGTCAGAACCTACAGGACTACTCCACAACGCGGTTTACATGGGTTTCGGGTCTTTTCTGTCACTGTCACTCATACTGGCATTTTACTTTGCGTGAGAGGGATGGAAACAATCGAAACTGGATATTATTTATGGGGGTTTGACGCAGAATGTGCACTTCGTAAAATGCGCACTTTTGTATACAAATGTAAAGGCAGAAGTTTCGTTCGTTCGTTCGTTTCAGCCAAATGACGTCCACTCGGCGCACCTCACCGCTAATCCACGCTAAATTTTGTCAGTGTGTGCGTGCGCGCCGCATACGTATTGGCGCGCTCACATACAAACCGCGCTCGGTGCGTTTCTATGAAGGTGACCTACTCATTAGTATTTACTCTGACAAAGGCCTTCCCCAAGGTTTTCCACAATGAACGGTCCTGCCGAAGGCCGAAGTTTATTTGTACAGTATTAGTATGAAAAAGTGCGCATTGAGCGAAGTGCACTTTCTGCGTCAGACCCGTTTTTAGGCGTAGCCCCCCTGCCTTTGTCGCTTGTCGTCGCCTTAAATTCTGTATCTTTCAATTATTGTATGCCCATGCGGCGGAACACAGCTGATCTATTACAAAATTGTATGACCTTATGTATTTACCTGTGATTTCACAATAAAACAATTTGAATGAGGGCTATCGTTTTAGCGCTCACCAGTTAGCGCCACTGTAGAGTAAGGTCCTGTCACTTGCTAGTAGCGAAGACAGTGGCACCAACTGGTGAGCGCTAAAGTGGTAAGAGGACTATCGCATTTGCACTCATCAAGATGGCGCCACTGTAGAGTAAGGTCCTGTCAATCGCCAGGGGTGCCAACTGTTAAGTATAAAAACGATAGCCCTCATTGAATTGAGAATGTTACTAGGTATGCAAAATCACTTGAAACCTATGTTACAGTTAAGCTTTTACATTTACAAATACATTAGTTTTTATTTCATTAAAAAATACCCAGTAGTTATGATTTTATAGGCATTCAAAGTTCGCTTAAATATTGAATCCCGCCGATGGTCACGTGACCCCGTGTGACGTACATTCACAGCGTCCGCTCACCATAAAACGGATATAAACATACTTAAATATTTTTTTTCGTAAATACAAACTTATTATACATATTAACACCCAGACCCATCACAGAAATTAAAATTGAACCAAACCCAAACTTGATGCGATTGTGTCGTTTTATTGCGAATTACCTTCCAGCTCCATCATTAGACCCCGATTACTATATAGAATTAAAATACTCATCAATACAAAACGAACGAGCCCAAACTCGATGCATTTAAGTCGTTTTATTATAGAGTTCCTATGGCCACCTTCCAGCTCCATCATCAGATCAGCTCCATGTCATCATAATATTGCATGGTCATCCAAATCACATGTGTTTGCGAAATTTCAGCTTAATCGGTTGCCTGGAAGTGGGTCTTAATTCAGTTTGCAAGATTCCACCCATACAAATATGAGCCAGTCGTTGTAATATGACGTCACGCGCATAAAATGGAGGGCCGGCCGCCGCCCGCACTTTTAAAATTCAATATCTTGGAAACTAATTGACGTATCGAAATAATTCTTTCACGTGTATTTTTTATTTTTAACAGAGAATACAGAAAGCTAAAAAACAAAATTAGTGAACATTCTTCATTGAAGGCGTGACGTCATACCTGGCCGGTGACGCCGCGCATGAGCACCTCGGCCAGCTGGCGCGTGAGCGTGAGGCGCAGCGCCTGCGTCGACGTCGACTCCACCGCCGTCAGCATCGAGCGGTACCTGCGGAAACAACGACGCGATTTCTTGGAGCGGTCAATTTGGATAGCGAAACAACATTAATATTGTAAAGCACATCGCTAAAACATTTTATTTTTTGCATTGAAAATATAAATCATTCGTTCGTTCGTTCGTTTCAGCCGAAAGACGTCCACTGCTGGACAAAGGCCTCCCCCAAGGATTTTCACAAAGACCGGTCCTACGCCGCTCGCTTCCAGGCACCTCCCGCGACCTTCACCAGATCGTCGGTCCACCTAGTGGGAGGCCTGCCCACGCTACGTCTTCCGGCTCGTGGTCGCCACTCAAGAACTTTCCTGCCCCAGCGGCCATCAGCGTAGGAGAACCAGAGTGACTGACATAGCCCACAGAATCGCTAAAATCAAGTGTCAGTGGGCAGGGCACATAGCTCGGAGAGCTGATGGCCGCTGGGGCAGGAAATCATTACTTTAGTTAAAATATTCTGATAGATGTTAAATTACATTTTGTAATCTAAAATAACAGCTTTTAAAATATAACAGTAGTAAGACGTCGTTAGTAAATAGGACGTAGTAGGAAGACGCAGCGTGGGCAGGCCTCCCACTAGATGGACCGACGATCTGGTGAAGGTCGCGGGAGGTGCCTGGATGCGAGCGTCGCAGGACCGGTCTTTGTGGAAATCCTTGGGGGATGCCTTTGTCCAGCAGTGGACGTCTTTCGGCGACGAACGAAAATAGTAAAGCAATTGATATGTCAATTCAATTATTATACTCATTCCCGTAATATATTTTGTACAAGAATATCACGACTTTTTGACGTCAGTTATTTGAAAACATCGTTGGCGTTGTTGTATGTTTTATATCATTCCACTGATTTTGTCACAGTATGTTCAGTTTATGAAATTTATCGTTTTTTGGAACAATATAAAAAAATCTGCTTAATCAAATATGACAGTGATAATGCTAAATATGCCTTAATATAGTGTTTGTGTAAACAACGCCGAGGATGGTGCAAAGACGGCATAAATTACAGTGGCGGGCGCAGCAAGGCGCGTCCGAGCGATCGGTTTTTGTCTCTTGCGCAGCCGCCGACACTCGCCATTGCACTAAGCCGGGGCGATTACACCATTTATGGCCGATAAAAAACTGAACGATGATAAGAAACAGTCTTCACAATTTTTGTAACTTACATTTAGACTGAAAATAATAAGATTTTCAAAACACATTCCACCACTTAGCATAACACAGTGACTTATTTATATTAAATTAGCTGTGTTCACGACTTCGTAGTACGCGTAAAAATAGTATGAATAATATTTTATGTTTTTTCAACATTTTTCTTTACTGCTCCGCCCCTATTGACTGTAGGGTGATGTTATAAAGCCTAAAGCCTTCCTGTAAATGGGCTACCCAACACAAAAATATTTTTTCAAATAGGATCGTACTCGAAGTACATTAAAAATGGGTCAAAATCTGCGCACACCATGGTGTTTCATTTTACGTTAAGCTTAGTGTTTGGCTTGTCGCCTCGACGTGAGTATTACACTTGTTAAGCCTTGTAGGGCATCGGTAGAATAGAAGCCATCCAACTTTGAAACATAGTCACTTCGTTTTAACGTCGAAAATCCAATGCATTTGCAAATACAAGTGGATAGACATCTGGGAAGGTTTGATAATATCTACACTACTTACTTAGGCGTGATTTTAATTAAGTACATTAACACTAGAGTGCTCGCGCGGGTGACATATGTCACCCAGGGTGTAAAATTTGTAAATATTTTTTCAATGTATCGAGCTACAGTGCTGCCATCTCATGTATTCTTCAAGCATGTANTTAATTTCTTTTGAAACTATTAAGATCGTCGTTTTGTCTCCTTCCTGAAGTTGCTGTGCCCTAACTGGGTTCACATTGTATAACTGCCTAAATTGTAAGACCTAATGTGAATGTGCTAATGTGGTTATGCAATAAACGATTGAGTATTGAGTATAAGAGAAAGCCCATAAAATGAGCCTCAAACACTATTAACATGTAAATAGTGTGATATTTTACGGACATGACAATACATAGTATAGAATTAGCACGATTGTGTCGCGATTAATTTGTAGCTTGTTGATAATAGCGCAAAAGCGCTTTGGATGAGACAGTCCCTGTGTGCTGCCGAAACACGCCACGAGATACTGCCAATGTGCGTAACCGGCCTGCTGGTATGTGCAGATGTTTTTTTTTTTAGATTTATGTGCGGTATCGCTAACATTATCACTGTCAAAGTGTCCAGTCATCTCTTATCACAACTAACCTGTCGATGGCGTTCTGTAACCGGCCAGCCCGTATGTGTAGTATAGGCACTCGTTGGAGCGCCGTCTCGAGCGTGGGCCCGGGGCACGTGTTGATTGATGTGCGGCGACACTAAAATTATCACTTCACTGTCAAGTCATCTTTCATTACGACTTACCTGTCAATAGCGTTCTGTAACCGGCCAGCCCGTATTTTTTTTTTATGTGATAGGAGGCAAACGAGCAGACGGATCACCTGATCATCGGCCAGCCCGTATGTGTAGTATAGGCACTCGTTGAAGCGCCGTCTCAAGCGTGGACCTGGAGCACGTGTTGATTGATGTGCGGCGGCGCTAACATTATCACTTCACTGTCAAGTCATCTTTCATTACGACTTACCTGTCAATAGCGTTCTGTAACCGGCCAGCCCGTATGTGCAGTATAGGCACTCGTTGGAGCGACGTCTCGAGCGTGGGCCCGCGCGCGTTGATTGATGTGCGGCGGCGCTAACATTATCACTGTCATCTTTCATTACGACTTACCTGTCAATAGCGTTCTGTAACCGGCCAGCTCGTATGTGCAATATAGGAACTCGTTGGAGCGCTGTCTCGAGCGTGGGCCCGGCGCTAACGTTGATTGATGTGCGGCGACACTAAAATTATCACTGTCAAGTCACCTTTCATTACGTGCTAACATTATCACTGTCAAAGTGTCCAGTCATCTCTTATCACAACTAACCTGTCGATGGCATTCTGTAACCGGCCAGCCCGTATGTGTAGTATAGGAACTCGTTGGAGCGCCGTCTCGAGCGTGGGCCCGGCGCGCGCGTTGATGCTAACATTAACACTGTCAAAGTGTCCAGTCATCTCTTATCACAACTAACCTGTCGATGGCGTTCTGTAACCGGCCGGCCCGTATGTGTAGTATAGGCACTCGTTGGAGCGCCGTTTCAAGCGTGGGCCCGGCGCGCGCGCCCGCCGCCTGTGCGCGCTGAAGATATAGCAGCGTCAGGTCTGACGCCAACTCGAAGCTGCGGATCTGTAGGGACAGATGCCTTTTATGTTTTTAAAACTCATAAAACTCATTTATTTTTGCAAATAGGCTTTTAAAAAGTACTTTTACACGTCCCACGGTATTAACCCTATCACTGCTTCGGGACAATAAATGGGCCAGTTCTGTGCTGTCAAACGTCAGCGAGACTTCAAATGTGCTTCAGGGTGTTAGTGTGAGTTTACATCAAACGCCGTCGCTAGCAAGCGCGTCAATACAATCTGTCACACATTCAGTGGGTCATGAAAAAAAAAGAAGACTGCGTATTTAGTTGTAATACTGTGCCCCGATTACGCTAATATTTTACGTCTCCAATACAGACGCGCTTCTTCGATTTCTTCGATTCTGCGGACGGAAACAGCTGACGTCAGCTGTTTTTGACCAATCGTATCGCAGAATTGAAGAAGCGCGTCTGTATTGGACACGTTAAAAATTAGCGTAATCGGGGCCCTACTTTCTGAACTAAATGATAATGTTTAAGTGGTCTTTAAAGACAAAAACAAAGTATTATCCTTACCATTTCAGACTCCTTCTCCGCCTGCTTGTAGCGGCTGGTGGAGCCGGGCAGGGCGTTTTGCTCGAGGCACAGCCCCTTGATCGCGTACGACTCGGCCACGATGCGCACGCTCCGGCTGTTTGAAAGAAAACACGACTAGGTTATTTATTTATTTATTTGTAATAGGTATACAAACAGTTAACAGTCTAGGCTTCCTCGTAATGAAAAATCTTATCTTATCTTATATATCCCAACTAATATTATAAATGCGAAAGTAACNATTATCTTCTAACATTTTTCTATTTTGTAAATTATGTGATACTGCATAAACATGTTTTCTTTTTTTCTATCTACTAATCAATGTTCTGTGCTAAGAGGCAGAATAGTGCATCCTGCCTTTAGTTTCTAAGAAAGTCTTTTAAGCACTTTGTTGATGCTGTGGAACCATGACAAAAAAAAGGAAGACATAATTATTTAGTTATAATAGTGATATCTGTAAGCAGCAAGTAAGTCAGCAAGGTTCTGGAGTGGAGGCCGAAACGCAGCGTGGGACGTCCACTCATAAGGTGAATAGACGACGTCATAAAAGTAGAAGGAAGGCGCTGGACGCAGGCCGCTACCAATCAACATGGAAATCATTGGAGGAGGCCTATGTTCAGCAGTGGACGTCATATGGCTGAAATAATGATGGTGATGATGAGTGATGTCTGAACTAAATAATAATAGTGGTCTTTTACTTCAAAGATACATCGTAAATGTAATATTTATCCTTACCATTTCAGACTCCTTCTCCGCCTGCTTGTAGCGGCTGGTGGAGCCGGGCAGGGCGTTTTGCTCGAGGCACAGCCCCTTGATCGCGTACGACTCGGCCACGATGCGCACGCTCCGGCTGTTTGAAAGAAAACACGACTAGGTTATTTATTTATTTATTTGTAATAGGTATACAAACAGTTAACAGTCTAGGCTTCATCGTAGAGAAAAATTGTTAACAAATTACGACTAACGACCTGATTTTAGGGGCTGCGAAAATGCGGACACTTTGCCATCGACATGGTACAACATCAGAGGAAAATGAGTCGTTGTATGGTTTTAAGTGGAATAAATTGGGGTACAAAAAGCGTTTACGTCTGCGAAGGGAGTGCCTGATTTTATGTTGATTTTATAAAAATAAAAGTAAGGCACTAAAGTTTCTAGTTACGGTTCAGCAGCTTTTAAAAGTAATATGTAATAATTGAGGTGTCATGACGAGCGTGCGATGCGATTTAGACGCGCAATGACTTGCGAGCTTCAACTTAGGACGATGCCTTAAAAACTCGTATCATCCTTACGTTATAACATCGTCTATACCTACACTCAAACTGTGAGGTAAGAGTAGGTATATAATCGAGTGTATAATATTTAACTATCAAATAATATTTCCCGAAATAAATTTATAACCAGAAAAATACCTTCGTACCTATATATTTCAGCGATAAACAATCTAATTATATTTCAACATTGACCGTCGTCATGCTGATTATTTATTAACGTAATTCTGATATCATTATTTTAAATGACATCAAGCATTTCCTATGACACAAATGGTAGTAATGGATAATGTTTTCACTAACTATAGGTATCAAACTTCGTTTAATTTCATGCTAGTTGAATACCGTTCTCAACGTATTGGTTAAGAGAGAATGTAGTCCATCGAATGATGTATGAACTTATCCAGTATGTAGATAGAACGAACTTTAACCCTCATAATACAAAACAGTGCCGTAATATCGTGTCAAAAGGCGCGCGCGCACGTGCGACTTTTGTCACCATGACGCGACGTAGGTATGTCTCTCCATAGATAAGATTTAAAATGTTATTTTGTTTATACTCTAGCTGAAGATGCGCGTAATGCGTTTCGTCTCGCGTTTCAGGTCACATCCGACTGTTAAATGAAAGGTCGTGGGTTCAAGTCCCATACTCCCACCTGAGGCCTAAAATATCGTGTACAAACTAAAATGTACTTCTTACGAAGCATACAATGTAAATTCAATAACATTAGTCACTGCATGTTTCCATGCCCACTGATAGCGAGTCTATCATTGGCTTTCGACAGGAAAGAAGCGAATGGTGACCGTTGATCAAACATTCCGTCATCGCACTGACGGCTGTTTAGATAGCGATGAATCAGCAAGGCTACAAAACAACGTCTTGTGCGCGCGCGCATTTCAGTCCATTATCATTCAACTAAGCTAATTACATATCAGCAGACATTGTTTTGAAGCAAGTGTGTGAACACAGTTGTATTGTTTGTTATTCTCAAAAGTAGTTCAATTATTTTCATCACTTTCTTTGACCAATATTTAGATGATATGATGCAATGTATATTATTTTCTTCTAATAATATGCATAGTTAGTTGATTTTAACAACTGCCGGCAGTAGAAGCCTATAATTTTAAAACTTTACCTGAACTATGCATTATAAAAGTTATAGCTTCAATGTATTTATAAGCATACCGGCGGATATTGACGTTAAAATATATTACGTAATTATTAGTACAAATAGGGATTGACTACAATATTATCAAATTATCAAACACAACATATTTTATAATACCTTATATACTTAATTTTATCAAAAGGTACAACACCGCTACCTATTGTCACTGATAACAATTAAGATGTATTGAGTTGAAATCATGACACTTACTTATATATATTTCTTTCTATGTAGAAATGATTAGCCCAACACCTTGATAGGAGTAATCAATGCTAAGAAACCTTACGGGGAGCTTGATTGAAACTTGAATTTGATTTCAGTCAAATATTTGGCAGCAAAGTTTAAATAAAAGGTTAACTTACACTGGTAATTCTTTTTCAGTCAAGGTATTCAGTTCGGCCAACTGGTAGTGTTTCAATGCAACATCGTACGCTCCACAGGCATAGTTCAACTTGCCCAAGAGCAAGTGAGCGTCCAGCGCTACTCCTGCCCGCTTCCCAGCGTCATCTGTGGCCAGGGTGAGGTATCCACGCGCTTCGGACAGCTCCCGCTGGGCCCTCTCGATGTTCTCCTTCGTCGGTGGCCATTCGTCAAGAAACGCTTCCAGCTTTCCTTCACCGATGAGGAAGTGAGCGAGGCTTTCTGGAATAACATTAAACATATTAGTTGAATTCCTTAAAGTTGTTGTGAATAACATTTGGTTTAATTTGTTTATAAGTTCGTACTTGAACGGGTATGAAATATTAATGGCATTATTCTTCTTCAATCATACAAATGATCTCATAAAACTGTTTATTTACACAAACAATCAGCATTATTCTTAAACAGCCACAAACTCATTAACATACAATAGCTAATTTTGAATTGTACAGTTATTTTATCACCATAGCATACTTTATGGCCGATATGGAGTAGCACTGTACAGTGTTGCAGAATCACTAGTATTACCTATTGACTAAAAAAGTACCAGATTAGAGATAATAAATGATTTGATTTATCTGATAAGCAATGCATAAACATGGAGATACAAAGAGCTACCAAATAGCATTTATTGATTGTTGGGATACCAAGCTTAACATGCAGTTATCATTATGTTGACTTCTATGTTTTTTATATTTGTTGTAATTAGCTTGGTTATAATACAATGACAAAAAAAATGGAATTTATAAATATATAAGCCTATATTATGTATAACGATAAATATATTATAGGAAGCAAGTGCAGGAATAGGCTTACACTCTCCACACTGGCCAAACCGGTTAGGGAGGCCTAACATAGCGCCTTGTTATGTCCAACACACTCTGTATTATGAAATGAAATGAAAATGAAAATGAAAATGAAAATGAAAATATTTATTGCCAGAATCAAACAATACAATAACTAAAAGACAGACCTCCACACACTTATCCTTTAGTACACACATATACAGGAGAAAGAAACCTACCAATATTATGTTTCAGCATGATTTGATTTTTCTAATAAACGAAAAACATAAATTACACAAACACTAAGACATATTATTATATGAAAAGAGCAATTCCACAATTTTATATTTACTGTAAACTAAGCACTTTTACCTTCTGATGAGAAATGATATTATAATTATCTAAATATATAAGTAAATAGACCTTGTCTTATTTAACAAAGGCTAATTATTAAGATAAACATTAATTTTCAGTGTCATTATTCAGTGATACATCAGTCATTTTTATTGCATTTTAACTGCTGATTTTAATTCAGTAAGTAAACTTACAAAAATAGAAGACATTAATACAAAATATAGGCTACATTAATAATGAGTGAACTTGAAAACCAAGTATTATATAATTTTAATTAACTAAGTTAATCTATTATACATTTGTTACTTGACTATTTAAATAATCTAATTAGAAATGGCTTTATGACCTTACATGGTGTGATCATTGTGTGTCCACAATACCTAATAATTAGAGACTAATTATTTAATTAAAGAAAACAAATTATTATGGGTGGTCAATGAGGTATTACATGTTCATGCTGTTTTTACTGAATGAAGTCAAGGCTGGAAATAGGAATTAGTAAAGAGTTTCTTCTTTGGACATACCATGCTGTGGTGACCTGGCCTTTAGCTGTTGAGCCAGGTCCACTACCTTCTTCCAATTCGCCTCCTCTCTGCTCTTGTCAATTTCTGTTTCGTAAATTCGCACCGCATTTTTGCTCCTCGATGTCATTTTAACACATGAACGCAAGCACCTTTATGTCACACCATCGATCTTGGCTAGAACTTCATTTGAACATTGCAAAATTCTATACAAATTGCAATAGGATTCCCAGCGCATTGAAGGCCAAATTTGACAGATGACAACATCCCTTGCACGGCCCTATTCCGGTGACGGAACTCCTGCTGATTATTCTCGCGCAAATCTGTCAAACAATCATTGTTTTGAAAAAATATGTGTATTATGACATCTGTTTAAATAATATTAAAATAAAAATGTAACAATTTAATATTTTCAATTAATTAAAACAGTAGTTATTTCAATTTTATTTAATGAAATGTATGAGTTTACATTTACGAGGCTAGTTACGATTAAACCTCAAACATAACTGCATTTTATTCTCAAATAATTCAGGTTTATCCAGATCCTTTTTATGATTATTTTGGTTACTTTATGAAAATGTTAATAAATAATAAGTGCAAAAATACTGATCGTTTCGGAAATGGTTTGGTAATGTCAAAGCTGTAACTATTTGTTGTATAAAAAACTCAAGAGATGGCGTTAGTAGTATATAAACTAGCGCGATGTAAAGTAAAAAAAAGTTTGTTTTAGTTTATTTAGGTATTTAAAAAAACTTAACTAAATAATAAAATTAATTTTTAATTAAGTACACATACTACCCACACTCGTTAAAAGTTATATCTGCATTTCTAGGTAAGTAAGGTTCAACAACGTTGGAGAGAAGACTTTACTTATTTTATTTAAAAAATAAATTAAGACCACGTAAAACTCCATTTCGTATGTTATCATTAATATGTATCAAACATATTTATTGTTGTCAATTTTATTCATACTGCTTTGGTAAGATTTGGCAAGAAAAAAATGTCTTCTTGCCATCTCCACCATCACGAACAATGAGCACAGGGCGAGATCGTTGACCTACCTAATTTTAGGGCGACCTTTTGGTCATGCGCAGTTTTTGTCTTGTCTCATTACCATTAAGTACAATAAGAAAAAAAGAAAAACATTACACATTATCTCTATTTTCTAGAGTCGCTCTCTAATATTTCTCTGACATCGAGATGATGTCCAACCACAATAAGTATGACTTACAGGAAAATCTATTCTTGTCCTAAATAAAGTAGTCTATACTTTATTAATCTGAAGAAAGGATATTGAAAATATTAGAACAGGCAAGTGTTTATACTTTCCCAGATATTTATTCAGCTAAATAAAGATAAGATTATGAGATTTAGGTAAGAAGTTGCCACGTAATGTGCCTACTTATTTATGTAACTAGGTATTTTAGTTATTAGAAAATAGGTCATGTAAGCACCTTAAAGGTCACGTTTAGAAAATACCATACTTATCTCGTAACAAAATACCTGCAGCTTTCCGCCTGAAAGTTTGTCGATAATTTCCGCTTTTATGAAGGTTCGACACGACATAATCATTTGGCCTGAAACCTACACGTCAAAAAATAAAAAGATGTAGAAGATCCGCATAAGTATTATTATATTGTCTTTTAACAAAAAAGCATGAATTTTTGCCAAGCTTTGAGAGTCGTCTGAACATGAAGTAGGTACTAGAAGGCAGGTGGTTTACCAGGCGTTATCAAATAGGCAGTAGGTATTTTTACCCGACTGCGCCAGAAGGAGGATTATGTTTTTAACAAAAAGTTTTTGTTCAATTCTTTTCTTTGCTCAAGTTAGATAAAACTAGCCGTTGAATACTCGTGTGTTGCTATGTTTACTGTGTTTTCTGTCTGGCTATAAGGAGTGGATTTACTGACCGATTTTATTCACAACACTTACATAATCCCCCCCACACGCTGTTCTCGCCTGTCGATAAACAACACCGGCGATCTTTACGGTTATTACGATTAGAATTCGCTCCTATTGCGTGCAAATAGTGCAATATTTCGAGCCTTTAGTCTGTGGAGTGTATAAAATGAGTGAATCTATTTTTAATGTGAACACAGAGGTATTTTTCAATTAGTACCTAACCTTGTTCTTGGAAAAATTACTAACAAAAATCTAAATCGCTAATAGTTCAGGTGTTTTCAATCAAATTAAACGACCTAAAAAGACATTTTTAGACTGACAAATTAGATTAAGATAAAGAAAATGGAATAAAGCAACTGAAGTGTAAAAACAGACTTTTATTATTCACAACCGAATCGAATCAGCAATTTTATAATGGGTATTATTGTCTTTCTGCCATAAGATATTTTGTGGTTATTGCCGCACATTAAGTAAGCTTGTCTGCAAATTCGCCTTAAACACGGAAAGTAGATTTTGCAGGATGTAAAATGGTCGTTTGATTGACTTTTATAACTTAACTACTTCCTTTTGGGGGGATGAAAGGGTGGGGCGGGGTTCCGGAGACGTCTCCTGTTTGTACCAAGGGCTTGGGATTGTTTTCTTATTCGATAAGGCCATGAAACAATATACCGATTGTTTAATGTGAAACCGACTTCCGTAAGATGTAAGTTTAAACCATTGAATTAATAATGCTGAAGGAAGACATAAAGTGAACACTTCAAACTAACAACCTTAAAAACAGGTTTGTTTAAATAAAGCTACATAGACCTCATTAAATAATATTAAATCAACTTTAATATACACAATACTGTAGGTATTATAGCGATGATAAAGCTCATAAAAGGTTTTTTTTCTCTGTGTAACAATGTGTTGTTAGTTATATTTTCTAATCTTTATAATAACCCTAATGTTTTTATAATGTCAATATGGTAGCGTATAAAGATTTTAGTTTACTTTATAGTCCGATAAAATAAGATTAAAGCTCGCTACAAATATTTATGTTACCTAGGATTAAGGCACGAGGAATACACGTAGTTAAAACAACCGTAACAAGATAAGAATATTCTAGAAGTAGGCACGTTCCGTGAATGTACTTACCTAATTTCTGTCTAAAGAGCTCCCTCGTAGCGCACCGAGGCTACGTGCTACGAGCTACGGCGCTCGTTGCTACGGAGCTGTGTCAGCAGCGGATTACGCTCCAAGGGCGACCTTGCGACTTGGACAGTAATCCCCAACCTCCTGGGACATCAATATTTAAATGCGTGATACAGGATGTAAGGGAGGGAAGTATTAGTAAAACATAGTTACTAAACTGTTCAAAATTGAGAACTAGCAGCGCATTTATAATTTCATAATAGCTAATTCACGGTTTTCACATTTTATTTTTTAAAGTATTTAGTTAGATACTTAAACTTATGAGAAAACGACCAAAAAATCTCTAGTACAGTAGAGAAGACGGCAGATCCATAGGTAACAGGTAACTATGTATATTTGCAACAAAACTGTATAACTAGTCTACTAATGGTAGATGTCTAATTTTCTCCAGGAGAAAAACAATATAGACTAATGATACAGGTAAACATAAACGACAAACAATATTACTTATTATCATGCTACGTGAGTTTACTGTTTGTTTTTACCAGCCTGTCTTTTACATCCTTTATTATGCCTAAACCATTGAATTAATAGGTATTCCCCTGGGTTCTACTTTAAAAGTTAATTAATAAACGTTTTTGGTTAAATGCAATACTTTAAAATGACGAAAATTTTAAAGTACACACCTTAGTTTGGGACTAGATGGCGCAGGGTAAAATGTCAAAGGATATTTTGATATTCATAAATTATTTAATTACGTTATTTACATATAATAAAATCATAGAAGTATCTGTTTCAGAATAGTCTTAGTCATAGTCATAAATGTTTATTGTATTAATAAAATTACAATCGACCAAAACTCTTAACAGTACAAAAGAGTGTGAAACGGAACGCAAGGGAGTGAGTGAGACGGAATGAATGAGTGAGGAAGGAAGAACGACGGGATTTAAACAGAAGACGAATAGTATTAAGACGGTTCTAGGACGTTCCTATTTTTTGTGGTTTATCCTGGAGTAAATACAAATAAAGCTGAAGAAATACAACCTGGGTTTCAATTCCTACAGCAATTAACCATAAAGTAATGTCAAAGCTAAATAAAAATAAAAAGATATAATTTAGCACTGGCAACGCAAACTACTGAGGAAATTTATTTTTTCTATCATGACAGGAGAACAAAGGCACAGTTCGAAATTTGAATCACACGTGATCTTCGAGAGTCAGTTTTATTTTATTTTATTTTAGTTGGTAGTTCAGAAAACTGTGCGCGTCACATAAAATTAGAAAAATCTTTAAAAATTCTTGTTTAGTGTTATATCCCAATATTAAAGTGAACTCTTAAAATATAATAATGCACGTTTTTGATTATAGTTAGTATATGAATAAAAAAAGTATTGGGAATAAGTGTGTGCCAGTGAAAACAATTTGTGTGCATACCGCGGGAATCGAGTTTTAATGGCTGATAATGGTGAGTCTTTTTAAATTAGTATTTAATTTTCTTAGTCTTTACAGATTGAAAGGAACTAATAAATCTTAATAGGTACACTAGTATTAACTATATTTCTTATGTTTTTAATGTCATGGAACTCAAATTACCTTCATAGTTATTCACGGTTTCATATGGTTGGTCTAAATTTTTATATCTTCTAAAATGTTATACTTACTTACGTCACTTTTAAGAAAGGCCTTACCTACGCCCGCAATAAGTACACGTCTGTAACCAAACATCACCTGCAATGTTCTCGGCCACTTTGTTGACTAATGTTCAGGTAAAAGGGTCGCGATGCTTGCCACACCCTTGCGGTACTCCCGAGCCGTTTGTCATGGAGTACGAACTACGTACGTGTCACCCGGTGTTTTATTACGCTAGTACACGTGAATAATGAGCACTACCAGGCTATGGAGAAAAATTGAAGCAATTTTGGAATTTTTCTTTACGCAAAACGTAGCATTTCTTTGTTTTTCGTGAGCTTATTCGCTAAAAGAGTAAACTTAGATACTCATGGAATTTTGTAAAAACAAAAATTTTTCGTCTATTCATCTATTGATACAGTGTGCCATCTACTATGCAATCGCAATACAAAAAACTACTTACAAAAAGGTTTTTTTTTCTGGTGTCTTTGACGATTAAACTATAATAAACCACCACCACCAGTGGTTTATTCGTCCAAGTGTGCTGTCGACTTATACCTACTTCCAATATAAAATTATAAAATTATATAAACATTGACGAAAATTTTCCATCGTTAA